CTCCTCTTCGGGGGACCATGGGGAAGAGAGGCCAACCTGTTGGGCACACAGCCCTGTCATCCTGCCTCTGCAGTTCCCCTCCCACCAGAGACCCCCGTTGAGCACCCTCCTATGCCCCTGCTTGCTTCGGGCTTCTTAATCACCCCTATCCTCTCTGCTTTCAAACAGAAAACCCTGAGCGCCTCATCAGCCGCCTGGCCACCCAGAGGCATTTGGCGGTGGGTGAAGAGTGGTCCCAGGACCTGCACAGCAGCGGCCGCACTGACCTGAAGTACTCCTATCGCTTCGTGTGTGATGAGCATTACTATGGAGAAGGCTGCTCCGTCTTCTGCCGCCCCCGGGACGATGCCTTTGGTCACTTCACTTGCGGAGAACGTGGCGAGAAAGTCTGCAACCCAGGCTGGAAAGGCCAGTACTGCACTGAGCGTGAGTGTCCACCTTCTTGTCTCGCCAGGTGCCGGTTCCAGCAGTGTCCCCTAAGATCTTGGGGGAGGTGTTTCTCTGACATCAGGCCCCACGGGAAAGGGGGAACCAAGCTACAGTGGGTGGAGGTCTGGTGCTATGTACAGGCCTTACTGGTGTGGGGGACGGGAGTTCGTCAGCATTACCCCAGAAAGTTAACATGGATAGCCCCTTCTCAAGCTAATAAAATGTCAGTGCCAACATTACGCTCTTGCTCATTTGCTGTAGACGTCAAATCTGATACCAAAATGTTGCTATCCTCAGCAGTTGCTTGAGGATTTATTAAAATATATCAGGACTACTTTTTATACCTAGCCACCCCTTCAACCATTGTACACTGATACCATCATCTACAGGGTACATGGCTTCAGGAGACGGAGCTAGGCTTTGGCAACATCCATGCGGCAGGCCTGTGGGTAGGCTTGTTATGGTCTGATGTCTTGCCACCCTTGTTTTGAGAAAAGTACTGAGAGGTCCAAGGCATTCTCTGTGGCCTCTATACCGTACAGTTCTCACTTGGGGTACTTATAAACTGCCACTAACAGAGGTTGTTCAACAAGAACATTCAACTTCTTCCCTATCCCTCTTCTCTACCATTGCCATGAGCGTTGAGTAGCACTAGTCAAATAATGAGAGACATGAGTTTCAAAGTATGCCTGAGCTTGAAGTTGTTGAGGAATGTGACGTGTTGATACAGCAGGAGAAGCTGGGACAGTAAGCAGATCACAGAGAGGATAGTCAGGGATGACAGATACCTCCAGCTTTGTGCAAGACTACCACCCTTTGTAGACACATAGCGGTGTACACCCAAACAGGCACACAGAGCTCCTGCTGCAGCCTGTGATGGCATCCTCTGTTTGTGTGCATCCATGGATCTGAAGTATGCTGGCAGATGATGTACTGGGTGAGTGCTCCTCTCCAGTCATCAAAGGGCCAGGCAGGCAGGGAGAAAAGTTATAGGCTGCGAAGCAGCCTCTCGGTTTTCTTCTTCCTGTGTTTTTGTTTTTCTTAAGGCCCACCTACGCTGTGGTCTCAGCTGAGCTGCTGTCAAACAAGCCCAGATTGATTATTCACGCTGTTAGTGACTGCTAGGATGCTTTTGCCAGTTCATGGTCCAATGTTGCACAATAAACAGCAGGCAGAGGCACTCACATTTCCTTTGATAGTGTTTTAAAATAGGAACTACAACCTTTCCCATGATCAAAAGTGCCTAGCCCAGTTGTGTCAAGGGGTGGGGACGAAGGAAGCATTTTGATAAAGAACTCTTTTGGGGCTGTCAGCACTTTTGGATGCCTGTACATCGCTGCTCTTCCCATAGCAAAGTAGAAGGCTGTCCTTCTTTCCTGACTCGTTACGCACGCTCTTCGCTCTGCTTTCCTTCTCAGAGAAAAACAGCTTGTAACAGCGACACAAACCTAGTAGGCAGAGGAGATGTGTTTATGTGTGCATGCAAAAAGAATGTTTTGCCGTTAGCGAGCGGAGCTGCCAGTCGCAGATTGCTTCCCGTCGCCTTGCCCCCAGCTCCATTCTTTCCAACTTGGAGGCGATCTGATTATCAGCGCCGATTCTTTCTTTCTTTTTCTTCCCCCCCCTCTTCCCCTCGCATGCCATTGTCTCCGGCTGGCTTTGTTGAATTAAAACTTTGCAGTGCCTGCTTAATGAGTTCCATAACCAGGCGAAGTAATGAGCAGAAATCCCTTTTTTCCCCTTCCCTCATCCTCCCTCCCGCTGGCCCGCTTACCTCTTTTACCAGGGCTGCACCCACCCTCCCGCCCCTTTTTGGAGCAGGGAGGAGGGGGGGAAGGAGGGAGGAAGAACTTTAGACTTATTTATTTGAATAAGAAAAAAAAAAAAAGTTTTTTTGCAGCGAAATCACGCGCGTGCGGTGAGTCGCCCCGCGCGCCGCCGCCCGCCGGCCCCAGTGGCTCCGGGGCCGGGGTATTGTTGCAGTGGGGCAGCTGCTGGGAGAGAATAGACAATAGAGCAGCTGTCTTGCACTGGCACCCTGCACACCAGCTGTCCACTCTTATCTGCACACACACTTTCGGGGGATATTAAGAGGTGGAGCTGTGTGCATAGAATTGGAAAAAAGGACTTCTGACCCTCACTGGGAAGGGAAGGGGGGTGAGGGGCTGTGGGGAAGGGAGCAATTGTGAGTCCTCTTTTGTCTGTGTGCAACTGTATTAAGAAGAATGCTCATCCCCGGCGATAAGTAAAGTGCCCAGTTACGGGCGAGATCAATACCCTGCAGACTCCAGAGATTAACTCAGCTGCGCTTAACTGCCCCAACCTGGTAAAAGGGGCTCGCTCCCCACCTGCAAGGTGCTCTCGGGATCGGACTTGTAAAAGGGAGGCGTTCAGCCCCCGGTGCTGATATCTCTCCCTGCTTGGTTTGTTTACAGCGATTTGTTTGCCTGGATGTGATGAGCAGCACGGCTTTTGCGACAAACCTGGGGAATGCAAGTAAGTTTTCTGCTCCCTTCCCATTCTTTTCTTTGTCTTTAACATTGATGGTGTTAAGTAAGCCATCGGTCATTCGAAGGGTCGGTTTAAATGCCTTTTTTCATGTTAGGTGGTAATTTGAGAAATCCAGGTGATGCCAGATCAAAGTATTAATCTACAAGTCAAACATCAGTGCCATTAATATTAACCTAATGAGTTTACAGTGCTGTGTGTAAGGTTTAGCTGTTTGTTACTAGTGTAAACAAATTAACTACCTGGAACCATGGCTCTATCTAAGGAAGTGGAAGAAATAGCTGGGACTGATGAAAGCTGATGCTATGGTTGGACTCGGTGTCTTTCTCACATGAAGGAGCACTGAGGGCTTTTAGGAAACTTGATCCTTGGCATCAGTGTGTTTGCAGAGTTTGCGATAGGGTTTCCAACTGTGAGAAGTCTAAATCTGATGAGACTTTGTTGTTGTTTTTTTTTTTTTCAGATGCAGAGTGGGTTGGCAGGGGCGATATTGTGATGAGTGCATCCGATACCCAGGCTGCCTTCATGGTACCTGTCAGCAGCCATGGCAGTGCAACTGCCAGGAAGGCTGGGGTGGCCTTTTCTGCAACCAGGGTGAGTTCTCAGTCCTTGCCTGAGTGTCTGTTTTAAAACACGGAAAGCAAGCGGCTATTTCCAGCTCAAGCACCCTGTGCTAGGCTCACAAAGTAGCAAGTATCTTGATTGCTCTCTTTTTCAAATAAAATCTTTTACAGACCTGAACTACTGCACCCACCACAAGCCCTGCAAGAACGGTGCCACATGCACCAACACCGGTCAGGGGAGCTACACTTGCTCTTGCCGACCTGGGTACACAGGCTCCAACTGTGAGATTGAAATCAATGAATGTGACGCCAACCCTTGCAAGAATGGTGGAAGCTGCACTGTAAGTTTGAGTTGCTTGTGCCATCTGAAACCCCAAGAGAGGAGTTAATGTCAATTTTACTGCTTTTCAAAATCACTTTTTGGATTTCAAAGCAACTTCAGGTAAATATTTTGAACATTTCTCATTTCTCTCCCCCAGGATCTCGAGAACAGCTATTCCTGTACCTGCCCCCCAGGCTTCTATGGCAAAAACTGTGAGCTAAGCGCAATGACTTGCGCTGATGGACCATGTTTCAATGGTGGGCGATGCACTGACAACCCTGATGGGGGATACAGCTGCCGCTGCCCACTGGGTTATTCTGGGTTCAACTGTGAAAAGAAAATCGATTACTGCAGTTCCAGCCCTTGTGCTAACGGTAAGGTCAAACATGCTACAGTGACCTTCTGAAAGGAGACCATCCAGTTATTTTGGCTTCTGGTCTGGAGTACATAACAAGGCCCACTAATCAGTCATGGTCCACGTCATGTCACTAGTTGACTTGGTGGAGGAACTGTAGTTGAAAAGTGATGGTGTGGTTTGGGATGCTGCTGCAGATAGCGTTTTCTCAAGGGCTGCCTGTGGCCGGATAACTTGGCCTGAAGCTTCATGCATAAAAATGCAGAGGTTTATACTTGCAAATGTTTTGCAAAGACTCTTTGAAGTCTGTGGATGCAAAATGCCATACAAGTGCTAAATATTATTACTTGTAATCTGGTAACAGTAATCTTCCTGTTTTGATTAAACAAGTGAAGACTTTCTTTACTGTAGTCCTCCTCATTCATTGCCACTCAAACTCTGTAACGTGAGATTGTGGTGTTGACCCGATCTGGACTACCTTTGTTGTCCAAGCTGAGTGAAATGTCAAAAAGGGAATAGGATGGTGAATGAAAAGTAGATCTGATTAACAAATACCTTCCTTAAAAGAGACTCATACATTTTATGGTGGATCAGACTGGGCAAAGGTTGAGCTAACCTCTGAAAAAGAAAGCTTTTCTCAGCTGCCGGTTGTGACAGTCGTCCTGAGAGCAGCAGGTGGGGGCTGTTGGGTTTGGCTGCCCACCACTCAGCGTTCGTCCTCCTTGATGTCTTGCAGGAGCCCAGTGCGTCGATCTGGGGAACTCCTACATATGCCAGTGCCAGGCTGGCTTTACTGGGAGACACTGTGATGATAACGTGGACGACTGCGCCTCCTTTCCCTGCGTCAACGGAGGCACCTGCCAGGATGGCGTCAATGACTATTCCTGCACCTGCCCCCCGGGATACAACGGGAAGAACTGCAGCACCCCGGTGAGCAGATGCGAACACAACCCCTGCCACAACGGGGCCACCTGCCACGAGAGAAACAACCGCTATGTCTGTGAGTGCGCCCGGGGGTACGGCGGCCTCAACTGCCAGTTTTTGCTCCCCGAGCCGCCTCAGGGACCGGTCATCGTCGACTTCACCGAGAAGTACACAGAAAGCCAGAACGCCCAGTTCCCCTGGATCGCCGTCTGCGCCGGGATTATTCTCGTCCTCATGCTGCTGCTGGGGTGTGCTGCTGTGGTCGTCTGCGTCCGGCTCAGAGTGCAGAAGAGGCACCACCAGCCTGACGCCTGCAGGAGCGAGACTGAGACCATGAACAACCTGGCGAACTGCCAGCGCGAGAAGGACATTTCCATAAGTGTCATTGGTGCCACTCAGATTAAAAACACAAATAAGAAAGTGGACTTTCACAGCGATAACTCTGATAAAAATGGCTACAAAGTCAGATACCCATCAGTGGATTACAATTTGGTGCACGAACTCAAGAATGAGGACTCTGTTAAAGAGGAGCACAGCAAATGTGAAGCCAAGTGTGAAACGTATGATTCAGAGGCAGATGAGAAAAGCACAGTACAACTAAAGAGGTATCTCTCACATCTGAGCATGGGGGGCAGCTTGACTCGGAAGGGGGTGTGTGTGTGTCTCATAGGTAGCATTAAGCAACAGCCATCTGACCTGTGTTGTCTCTCTTTCTCTTCAATAGTGATACTTCTGAAAGAAAACGACCAGATTCAGTATATTCCACTTCAAAGGACACAAAGTACCAGTCGGTGTATGTCATATCAGAAGAGAAAGATGAGTGCATCATAGCAACTGAGGTTAGTATACTGCCTGGCAGTTGGAGCAGCAGAGAAAATTCCCGGCGAGCGATCCCCGTCTAGCACACATCAGGGCAGCCAAATGCTTTTCCATGGTGCCACAGCGATTTGTACCTGTTGAAATCCAGCCAGCTCGAGTTTGTCGCGCTGTGGATGTTGTAAAGACGAGATCAGTGACTTGCTGCTGTGGATGTTACGGGTACGACAACTTTTGCAGACAAGGGTACAATGATAGCACGGTTGTGGTCTGCTGACCGACCCCTTAGTGTGCTTCATGCAGAGTCCGTTCTTGCCCAGCATAAAGACAGAGTCCTGACCCTCTGCAGCCTTACAGCCCTCTTCTTACTTTCCATTAACCTCTCCTGATCTCTGCTCGTGTTTTCTCTCACCAGGTGTAAACCAGAGGCGATATGGCAAGGTGGTTGTTCAGAACAATTTCAGAGGAGACGTGCCCCGATGAATGCTGCTGAAAGAGGAATGGGAGATAGATTCCTTCACTGACTGCTGCTGAGAAACTAAATTCAGGCTTGAGCTGGTTCTCTACTGAAGTTAGCAAAAGTGACTGCAAAATAAAGAAACAAGATGGACACCAGGCAAGGGTCTGTGTTCAAGGATTACTGTTGCACTGCCTTTTATGAATTTTATCATTGCACTATGGTCAGTTGCTTTTCTATATATATTTAAATGAATGGACTTAATTACTACATAAGAAGCATGCACTGCCTGGAGTGTATATTTTGGATTCTTATGAGCCAGTCTTTTCTTGAATTAGAGACACAAACACTGCCTTTATTGTCTTTTTTGATACTAAAATGTGTTTTTACTAGGTGAGAAAAAGTGTGTTATTTTTTTGAATCTGTAAAAATATTTTCATGATAATTGTAAAGCTTGAGTATTTTGTGATGTTCATTTTTTTATAATTTAAATTTTTTGGTAAATATGTACAAAGGCACTTCGGGTCTATGTGACTATATTTTTTTGTATATAAATGTATTTATGGAATATTGTGCAAATGTTATTTGAGTTTTTTTACCATTTTGTTAATGAAGAAATTCATTTTTAAAATATTTTTCCAAAATAAATATTATTAATGACAACCAGACTGCAATGTTTATTCCATAACTGATTATGAACTGACTGAACCTTGCAACCCGGCATCTGACAGACCTCCATGGACTCAGGGGTGGATGGAGTGGAACCGAGACCTATCACAAAGACCCTCTCCCCTTTCCCCCTAACCTTCTGAACTGTTGACCCCATGGTGTGTTCACTCTTACTCCAAAAGCTAATGTCTGTCAAAACCTTGAGTAATGTTTGCTCAGGCATGCTGCGTTGTGTATATATAAACACGTTCGGCATCACTTCCTGAGAAAGAGCAATGCAACCGTGCTCCATCACAATCCAGATGCGGGGCTTTCCGTGACTCAGCTCTTCATTTCTCACAACCTCAAACATCTGTCTGGAGTCCAGGGGAGTTTGGGACACCCAGGGCACGCCAGCAAGAACCCCCAGCTCAGGCCCTTGATGCACACCCATGGGCAGTGAGCTCCCCCATTCACACCTGCCTGGGGGTGGCTCTTCCCTATCCCGGAAAGGTGACACTGAATTGACTGGTGGCCACAACTCTCCTGGCTATTGAACCTGTCTGAAGTATTAGTTGCATCTTTGGTTTCCACTCTGCCCCCGATGCCTGCTGCCTTCGCGTTGGGGCAGGGTGTTATCCCATCTCCGGGCTTGGCCCCGAAGGCTCAGGCAATTTCCCCAATTTAGTTTGCCCTGACTAGCTCTCCTTTGGGTTATGCTACATGTTAATCAGCACAGGCCCTTCAGAAACAGGAAAAATGTTTTTCCACTTCAGGAAAAAAAAAGGAAAATCTGGGAAATAATTTCCTTTTTGCTCCATTAAAGTTGAACTACAATTATTGTGGGCTACCTCCTGCAGCTTTGGGGTGCCGATGAAAATCCTCGGTTCCCATTTGCTTCAGGGGACAGGGACGCTATCCCAAACACAAAGAATGGGATAGCAGATATAATCAAGCAATAATCACAGCTGGTGTTCCATAATGGTAAAGTATATGTGTGCTCCTCTTGTTTTAGTGTACGTAAGTACATGAACTGCTGGAACTGTACTTTGGTGTGAGGTCAATGGAAAACTCACACTGACTGCAGGGACTTGTCCATCTACAAGGCCTTCTTGCTAAGCCAAACTTTAGACAAGATCAACTGACTCGTTTCTCAAGAATTGACCCAACAGGTTTATCCTTTTCGTTTATCCCAAAGTGTCGTTTTAGGGAAAGTTTTCATGAGGAGAGTGATGTGAAGTATTAAAAACCAGCCTGTCAGCAATGGTCTGAACAGCATTTTCAATCTGAGCAGTAACATAACAACGTGCCAATAACCAGTCAATGCATCATATATTAAATGAGGCACGGCAGTGTGTATGGCAGCAGGTGGTCAGAGCAACATAATCTCACAGACTGGACAAACAAGTGAGCCTTGGTAGGTTTTATTGCTACCTCTGTTGCTGATTTGCTCTTCAATCTTGGGCAAATCACTTTATTTCTCTCTGTTTCCTCTTCTTCCTAAGTTTTTTGGAGCAGGCTTGTGTCTTGTGACGTACTGCACTTTGCACAGTCAGTGCCATGGCCTCTTGATGCTGCTTCTGTAGAAATAGCAGTAAGGAATAGAAGATCATTGATAGATGAGTGCCTCTATAACATCAGGTCTTTTGTGCCACAGCAAGTACTGCTTTAATATGGTGTCAGGCAAAGGTCTGGAAGAGCACACAGATCCTTGCTCTCGCAAAGAGGCACAGCATCCAGCATCTACCTAACTTCGCTTAGAAATAAAACAGCTTTTGAAAACTCAGTTTGTCCAAGTTTGTCCAATTATTAGAAGTGCTGAGCTTGGTGAGCAAAGGAAAACGCGCTGTAGGCAAAGAGAAGGGCATGGTCTTGTCTTTCTGAAGCACTTTCTGAAATGATGGCTACACAGATGAGCCCAGTGGCTTCTTCCGTTCCTGTCTTGAGCTGGGCTGGGGCTACTGCCACATGCAGGATTTACTTCTTGTACAGGATTGCTAAGTCCCCGCAACCTGAGCGTGTGCGTATATAGGGGCTCTCAGTGACCAGAGCAGGTTGAGGCATGCAGTGTGGAGCACTGGATCCATGCTCCTCACCTTTAGTGTTGGGCCTTCCTGGGGAAAAAAATGGATGATCTGGGCAGGGGGTGGAAGTTGTGCCCGTGTTTGCTTAAGAGGGAGAGGGCACACGGCAGGCTGAGCCGTGCGTGCAGGTGGTGCACGCCATGGGCCAAGGGCAGCGAAGGTGCCTGCCTGCCTCGGCCCTGCCAGGGCAGCGCTCGCCTCAGGACGGCAGCTCTGCTGCCAAAAAGCGGCAGGAACCTCCCTGTCAGCAGGGTCTCTGAAAGGCCTCCTCATTCTAAAATGAGAGGAGAGCCTGCCTGGGGAGGCCGTTTAGCCGGGACAGCTGAGAATTCAGGGCCTGATCCAAAGCCCATTAAAATTAATGGAAAAGCTCCAACGAGCTGCAGGGACACATGGCACCGTGCCCCTCCTGACACAGCACATCTCCGGCTCTCCGCGGGGAAGCTGCACGTACCGATGCAGCGTGTGTCTCCGCGGGTGGGGGATGTGAAAGCCCACGGCCGGTTTAGCCCACGGCCGGTTTAGCCCGGGGTTCCTCCTCAGGCTGTCGCTGCAGCACCGTCCCGTCATGCCCCCACATTGACCTGCAACATCTCCTCCCTCCCCCTGCCGCGGCCTGGGAGGGCTTGGCCTCATCTGGTGCCAGGTCTCAACAGGGTGGCCGGAGAGGGCACTCCTCAGCCCACACCTCTGCCCGCAAACCTGTGTTCCTGTGGCAAGCGACATTTGCAGGTTTGGCATGGACAGGACATGCCAGGAGCTTAGAGGCACAGAAACAGCAGGAGAGGTTAGCTGCAGGGAGGTATTAGCTGCCCTGCTTGTGGAAGGGAACTTTTTAAGCGAGGTGTGTCACAGCTTTCGAAATGTAGGAAGCTTTGGCTTCGGACAGCATGTCTTAGGTTTAATTGCAAGACATGGGTTTATAAATTGCTTTAAATTAATATTTGTGCTCACTTTGCACACAGTGCAGGAGGACAGCTTGGTTGTCAGGAAACTGGGGTACTATTCCTGGCTCCACCACAGACCTGATGTGTAACCTTGGGAGAGGAAGGATGGTCTTGTGGTCAAGGCGCTGCGGAGGGACTCAGGAGGGCCCCCTTCTATTTCCAGTGCTCCCTCCAGACTTCCTGTGCAACCTTGGACCTGTGTCGCTTAATCTTTCCAGGACCTTAGGAAAATGGGGGCCTCCTGGTTCTGCTAACAGGGAGAAGGTCATTTGTGCTTGCGAGAGGATACCGCGGTGATGGGGAATGTTAAAATACCCTCCAAGGCGAGTAAGGCTATTTCCTATCTCTCCATGTCAGATTGCTTGTCTGCGAGGTGGCAAGCTATTTTTTGCAAAGTGCTTTCAGACGCTCACGTGGAATCAAGACCCCTATCACAATTAAAACATCCATCATCTCAGAGAGGATACGCAAACCCTGCACTGGCAGCAAGGAGACAAAGCGGCGGCGGCAGGGAGGCAGCTGTGGTGGTGTGGGTGTGTGCGCTGTGTGTGCGGGGGGACGTGATGCAGCTGTGTGCCCATGGGCCGGAGAGGGTGCCACACATGGCAGCGTTCAGGTGAGGGGGCCAAGGTGCCGTCAGCCTCCTCTCACAGATCTGCACCTGCAATCATGGTCTGTAGCTGGCTCTCTGCTGTAGCAGTCTCTCTTCCAGCAAAACTGTTTTGCAAGTAGAAGTACAGATTAAACTCGGTTTGGGACTATGAGGGGCAAGGAGGAAAGCTGCATAAATGATACAGGTGGAAATTCTCCACTGACAGACCCTAGGAAACCGCCCTGTTGTTATGGCCTAACATCCAAAGTCATCTATTTCAAAGAAAATGACCTGAGAACTACTTCTAGGCCAAATCCCAAACTGAGTAGCAATCTTTCATGATGCCTGACATCTACTTGTGTCAGATGAATGGGGAGTCTCTCCGTTCCCTTCCTTCCTTGGGAGCCACTTTTTTCACCTGGCTGTTAAGACCTGGCTTTCTGCCCGTGTCTCTGCTACCTCCTGTGCAAGTCAGAGAAATCAAGAGCCTGGCCAGAAAAGACCTGGTGTGCACTACGAGGCATATTTTCACATCAAACATGGGGCCTGCTGTTGTGAAAAAGTGATGGCTGATCCTGCTGGTTGCAGTGAAGCAGAGGTGGATGACAGCCCCACTGCTGCGTGGGGGCTGCTGCCTGGTCAGTGGGGCAGGGAGGCGGGGGAGATGGGGCTGGAGGTCACAGCACCCTTGTGTCAGGTTGGCTTTTTTTCTTAAGAAGAAACATCCCTGGTCTTTTCTCCTGCCGCTGCAGCCTCATCTCCTGCAGCAATAAAGTCAACACTGCTGGGGCTGCTCTCTGGCCCTGCAGCCAGTCGGTATGGATCAGTCTGCATCCGTAACGTTAAACTGCCTTACTCTCCCAAACTGACTGCTTACATCCACACCACCGGTGGGGGATGGCTCCTGCTTTGTGCCTAGGAACAGCCTGGGACACTGCTACCTGCAGGGGCAAAAGCATGGCAGGGACCACTGTAGCAATGCAAGGATACAGATGATTGCAATCTGGAGACCAGGAGCTGCTTAATTTCGCAGCACAGGTGTATCCAGAGCATCTCAGTTTGTGCCATCTTCAGGA